AATGTTGTTAGAATCAAAAGTGATCATGGGAAGGAATTTAAGAACCAAAAATTTGCTGAATTTTGCTCATCTGAAGGGATTAGCCATGAATTCTCTTCTCCCATTACTCCACAGCAAAATGGAGTTACGGAACAAAAGAATTGAACTATTCAGGAATTTGCTAGAGCTATGATCCATGCAAAGAAATAACCTTACCACTTTTAGGCTAAAGCTATGAACACTGCTTGCTATGTTCATAATAGAGTGACCTTAAGAACAGGAACCATGACTACCTTGTATGAGATATGGAAGAGAAGAAAGCCTACTGTCAAATACTTCCATGTGTTTGGAAGAAAATGCTACATATTGGCAGATCGTGACCAAAGAAGAAAGATGGATCCAAAAAGTGATGAAGGAATATTTTTGGGTTATTCTACTAACAACAGAGCCTATAAAGTATTCAACTCCAGAACTAAAGCTATGATAGAGTCCATCAATGTTGTTGTTGATGATGTGTATAAAGAGGCTGATGTCCTAGAAGATGTTGGAACATTCCTTGATATCTCAGCAGAGTCTGCAGACAAAAACACTGATCCTAATCCTACTAATGCAGAACCTGAACCTGAACTAGTAAACAAGGGACCCTCTACCAAAATTCAGAAAGACCATCATATGGATCTTATCATAGATGATCTAAATGAGGGAGTCACTACTAGATCCAGAGAAGTCATAACAAGTTCTTGTTTTGTGTCTAAAATTGAACCAAAGAATGTCAAGGAAGCCTTAACTGATGAATTCTGGATCAATGCCATGCAAGAAGAGCTAGGGCAATTCAAGAGAAATGGAGTATGGGATCTTGTTCCAAGGCCTGAAGGAACAAATGTGATTGGAACAAAATGGGTATACAAGAACAAGTCTGATGAAAAAGGGGTGGTCACCAGAAATAAAGCCAGATTGGTTGCTCAGGGATACCCTCAGATTGAAGGGGTTGACTTTGATGAAACTTTTGCTCCTGTAGCTCGCCTTGAATCCATCAGATTACTTTTGGGAGTTGCCTGCATTCTGAGATTCAAGCTGTTTCAGATGGATGTTAAAAGTGCCTTCTTAAATGGGTACCTAAATGAAAAGGTCTATGTGGAACAACCTAAGGGATTCATTGGTCTAACTTTTCCCAATCATGTTTATAAGTTAAAGAAAGCTCTGTATGGACTGAAGCAAGCTCCAAGAGCTTGGTATGAGAGACTAACATAATTTCTTGTTGATAATGGATACAGAAAAGGTGGCCTAGATAAGACTTTGTTTATCAAATAAGAAGGAGGAAAGCTCATGATTGCTCAAATATATGTTGATGATATTGTGTTTGGTGGGATGTCTGATGAGATGGTTCAACATTTTGTCCAGCAAATGCAGTCGGAATTTGAAATGAGTCTTGTTGGTGAATTAACCTATTTTCTTGGGTTGCAAGTTAAACAGATGGAAGATTCTATATTCCTATCTCAGAGTAAATATGCCAAGAATATAGTTAAGAAGTTTGGGATGGAGAATGCCAGTCACAAAAGAATACCCGCTCCTACTCATCTTAAGTTGTCTATAGAAGTATCTATAGAAGTTTGGGATGGAGAATGACAAAGTATCTATAGAAGTATGATAGTGAGCTTGTTATATCTTACAGCAAGCAGGCCTGACATTGCTTTTATTGTAGGTGTGTGTGCTAGATACCAAGCTGAACCCAAAGTGAGTCATATCAATCAAGTAAAAAGGATTCTGAAGTATGTTAATGGGACAAGTGAGTATGGAACGTTATACACTCATGGATCTGGCTATGTGTTATCTGGGTATTGTGATGCTAATTGGGCTGGAAATGCTGATGATAGGAAAAGCACATCAGGAGGTTGCTTCTTTTTTGGGAACAATCTTATATCATGGTTCAGCAAGAAGTAAAATTGTGTCTCTCTGTTTACTACTGAAGCTGAGTATATAGCAGCTGGAATTAGTTATTCTCAACTGGCATGGATGAAACAAATGTTGACTGAATATAATGTCACACAAGATGTCATGACATTGTATTGTGACAATTTAAGTGCTATAAACATCTCTAAGAATCCTTTCAATACAGTAGGACCAAACATTTTGATATTCACCATCACTTTATAAGGGAGCTTGTTGAAGACAAAATCATTGCCTTAGAACATGCTGCTATAGAGAAGCAACTAGCTGACATCTTCACAAAGGCATTGGATTCTAGGTAATTTGAAATTTTAATAGGCAAATTAGGGATTTGCATTTATGAGGATTTGTAGCCATTATTGCTGAGTGGAAATATCATTCAAGAGGTGTTGTATTTTCCAAAAATAAAGTGGAAGTATGTGTACCAAAGAAGAGTTGCTCTTGAGGGAGAGTTGGGCAAGGATGCTTTTGAGATAAATGAGGGTCATGATTCTGGGTCTACTGCTGGTGATGAAGGTGACAACTCTGGTTCTTAGGAAGAGAGTTGATGGTGCTTGTTTATGGTGCTCTTTGGATTGTGTTTGTTTTATTTATTTATTTAGAATTTTCTTTTAGCACTTAATGTGCTTTGGCTTGTAATTTTTTGTGGTTTCATTGTGCACTCTTGACACTGTTGACTCTGTTGCTTGTTCTATGATAATGGTTTTCTCTTAGTGAGATTTCTTTAATTATGACTGAAAAGGGGGATAAGTAGTATGAGGGATGTTGTGCTGTTGCTGTTGTTTCTGGGTTGATGGGGATTATTTCTTTCTGGTGTTGTGGTATGGTTCTCTAGCACTTTGGTTTGAGGGGAAGCTTTATTTTTCTTTGTGACATGTTAGGCTTTTCTGTGTTTTTTTTTGCTACTGTTGTGCTCTCTGACGTGTTATGGTAGCTCTTGTTATCAATTGGTTGTTTTAGCCAAAATTTGCCAAAAGGGGAGTTTGTTAGTTTTGTGATTGACAACAATTTAGGTAAAACTTGGTGTTATCACAAGATGTCCTACATGATGTCTTGACATGTGATGTTAACATTCTGCAGGTGGTTCTTTTTGTTGTTGCAGGGTTTAGTTCATGATGTCAAGTATGATGTCCTGACATATGTTTACAGAACATTCAGTTAGAATGTTATGTTTTGTCTGTTGCATTTTTTCTACAATCTTTTGTGTGCCTTTGTTAAGCGATTGCTTGTGTAAATCAAGACATGACATTATTTGAAGCAAGTATATTCTGTTTCCTTTTGAAGAATGGTTTATGCAAAAAAGATATGGAGAATAATTAGTTTTAATTATGGATTACTTTTGCCCAAGCCCATGAAGAATGGTTTCTATTTAAAGACGTGCTAACCCTACTTGCAAGGGAGAGAGAAGATTTTGAGAAAGTTGCGTTTTGTCTTGTGTTAGGGTTTGAGTCTTTTGTTTGTTGTTTTCTTGTGAGTCATTCATTCTCACTTCGATGTGTGAATTGGACTGAGTTCTTTGAGTTGTAAGTTGTCCACTCTAAGCTTTTAAGCACGAGTGCATTGTTCTTGATTGAAGCTTTTAAGCAAGATCAAGTGTTATCCTTGAAGTGTGTCTTCTACTTTTTGATCTTCTGTTTTTATCTCTGCATGTGATTGAGGGGGAGTGAGAGGTATCTCATATCTGAGAGTGCCTTAGGTAGAAGTTACACGGATAGAGATTAGGTGCAAAGATTGTAAACTAGAGAGAGTTTGCTGAGAGTCTTCAAACTAATTCTGTTTAGTGGATTTCCTTCCTGGCTTGGTAGCCCCTAGACGTAGGTGTGTTTGCACCGAATTGGGTCAACAATTGCTTGTGTATCTTTATAATTGTTAACTGCATTTTATTTTGTTCATATATTGGTAATTATTCAGATGTTAATGTCATGACATCTCTTTCGACATCTCATATCTGATACCAGAATTTCATTACTTAACATTCACAGACCTTTGGGAAGTTTCTTGGATTGCAAGCTGGCCATGAGGAATGACTGGTCGCCCCAACTGGTTGTAACCTTCAATGCAACCCGGGTTAGTCTTATCTCTGAAAATTGGAAAGCTAGGAACCTTATTAGATTTGAAGGTAGAAAATTCATATGGAAATCGTGTGTTGCCTGCATATCTCTTGCTGCCAGTTTTGTTGGAAACCAAACCAACAAAGCTTCTAATTCTTCCATTGATAATTTATGCATACTTAAGAAACTTAATATTTATATTCACCCTCATAAGGTCAAGAAACCAATCAATATCCTTTGACAGCCTTCTAACAAAGGTTGGATCAAATGCAACATTGACGACTTTGCTTTAGGAGTTCCCTCTCTTTGTTCTTGTGAGGGGAATTTTCAGAAATGAGGTTGCTAATTACATGGGAAGCTTTGCTAATTTTGTGTGTGTTGGTAATGCTTTGCTTGCAGAGCTCTCTGCAACTATGACAGTAGTTAAGCAAGCTAGGTAGCATAAGTGGGATAATCTTTAGATCGAATTCGATTCTACAACATTTGTGAAAGCGTTTACTAATAGTAGCTTGGTTTCTTGGAAGATAATAACTAGATGGTTGAATTGTGTAGCTATTACTCTAACATGAATTTCTTTGTTACTCGTTTTTTTTAGGAAAGTCAATAGTTGTGCGAATTCGTTAGCCACCATTGATTTCATGTTTAGAACTAACAATTGGTTCAATTTTACGCATAGTAAAACTGACAAAGAGTTTTTATTAGACTAATTTAACTCCCTAAAACTTAAGAGATTTTAGTTTGATCCTTTGTCTTTATTGTTTTTTATCTTTCAATATTTTAGTTATTCCTTTTTGTTATAAAAAAATTAAAATTTATGGCTATCAAATAATACTTTTTTTATTATGCAAAATTAAAATTTATTATTATTTTAAATATAAAAAAAAATCAAAACTAAAAATGTCCAATTCGTTCTCTCTCTCTCTCCCCCCTCTCTCTACCTTATCCAGTTACTGGCTTAGTTATCATCGCAAAAACTGATTGTGAGAAAGAGAGAATTCAAATTCCAATCGCATAGAACTAGTAATGTCTCTGAACGCTCTACTTCCACATCCTCTATCGAGTTCCTCTACAACCTTACGCTCCTCCTCCTCCTTCAACCATTCTCTCTTTTCCATTCCAAAACAAATACCTAGAAAAACTCACCACCACCATCACCACCATGTGTTGGTGGTTGAAGCAAAGGGTAAAAAAGGATTGATGTCTCGCCAATTCCGGCGCCCTCCTCCTCCTCCTCCTTTACCCAAAATCGAAGATGACGGTAACCCCAAATTCGTCGTCTTCATTCGCGTGGCTGATGTTTCCCGCTGGTATCCTCTCAGTATCGTTTCCGGTGGTACCACCGCCAAAATTATGGTTTCTGTTAAAGATAACTTTCTTGGCAAATATATCTTCAAGGATACTCTTGATAAAAATCTCGCCGCCGTTATCTATAGAGTATGTTTATCCCCATTACTATTCTTATTCCTATTCCTCTTTAGGTTTTATGAAAAAAAGAAGAAGCATTTGAATGGTTTTTATACAAAAATTAGGGGCATTCCGAGAATTGAACTCGGGACCTCTCGCACCCTAAGCGAGAATCATACCACTAGACCAAATGCCCGTTGATGATATACTCATTCCGTGGATTATAGATGCATAATGATTTGTTTGATCTTCGGCCTAATTTGTACTTAAGTGAATTTTATGCCCGATGTAGCATCAAAGTCTCTGAAAAAAAGTGTCAGTGGCCGAAATCAACTTCGGCACTTGTGATTTCTTTAACTAATGTCCTAATTATCGATATATGAGATTTGGTTTTTCCAATACAGCCCTTTGTGCCCAACATTTTTTGGGCTTGGTGGAATTAGAGTTTGACCAAAATCATCAAGTTGAGTTTGTGATTTCTGTCATGCATGAGCTTATGTTTGTTACTCGCTTTTTGTTCCAATTTAAATAGGATGAGGAGGAGATAAAGAAAACGGCAATCAAACAACATCAAAACCTGAAGTCAGCTACTGAATTCAGATATGGCTATAAACTTATTGTAATGTTCCTATATTTTTATACTATGTTTTAAAGCCGATTGAATATGAATTCATGAGACTTTTGTTTTGTTTATTGACTTTTTCAGATGATGAATTGCAGGTGAATGGTAATGTAAGAGCTGCACTTTCTACCAAAGATGTTCTTGAGGTGATATTCTTCACTTGTTTTTTATCTCCATCAGATCAGTAGTAATATTGCCAAGAGAAAGTTTGTTGAAAATTTAATTGATTCTCAAACCTTAATACTGCATTAGTGACATATATCATGTAAATACTGCAAAGAAGAATCTTTGTTCTTCACGCGACTTTTCATTTTTAATAGATTTGCATAAAAAATGGAAACTATCGGTATCATTAGCTTGTAGATTGATCATTGTTTGCATTTTAAAACTTAAGCTTTCTACTTCGTGGTAAGTTTTTTTCTTTCCAAGTACTGAGAAAGAAGATTTTTGAATGCGTTCCGTCCGATTTATTGTTGTGTTTGCATATCCAATTTGCAGCTTCCTACACCAGATAAACTAAAAACCGTAGTTGATAATGTGAAAGACTTTTTCGAAGATGTAAAAGACACCTTTGTCCAAATAACATCGTCAGACACTACGACAACCAAGGAGCCAGAGCCAGAACCAAAGAAAGATACCAAAGCAAAATCAAAATCAAAATCTAAGTGAGTTTTATGTCTTGTTGCATGGACAACATCTCTAGAATATAATTGTAAAAGGGAATTTTCATTTTTAAAGTCTTTACTTTCTTCATTTTCTTGATGCCGCATATTTGATGGAGGTATCTCTAATTTTAAAACACTTCAATGAACATTATTCAATTACATGCTAAGTAGTATTTTAAATTTCTAACGGTTTGGATTTTTGTTGTGCTAATGTCAGGGTTAAAAGAAGATGAAACTATAGCAGGAAACGATTTGTTGAATTGTTATGTGTTACTTGGGGCAGCATGAGCTTTAGGAAGCGAGCTTCATGCTGTTTGTAGATTGGTTAATGGCTGCTTTCTTTGTGCAGCAAATGCTACTCGTGTTTTGTTCTTATACCTGCACTGCGCCCAACTAAATTATGTTCTAATGAGTTGATATCACTTTTATGGTGTTGTTCTTTTGATTCATGATGCATTGGGATAGATAGCTTGTTGAATGACCGTATAATGGTATCATTATTACTTCAGCAAATTTCTCGATCTGCTGTAAAAATTAACAGTTTAATATTCATGCATTTTATTTCACAGGAATTGATTTTGTTGATCAGGAATATTATGTGTTTCGGAACTTAGCACCAAAACCTTGACTTCTTTTACATTGCTAAGTAGAGCTTGCAAAGCACTCAAAGATTCTAAATTTTCATTAACTTGAAAACCAAAGTTTGATCCAAGTAATCCGCATTTTTGTAGAATAACAAATGAAAGGATTTATCAATGTCAGACAGAGGTTCATCATCATGATCTGAAATTTGGAGTGAGAAAATTGCTCACTCAAACCTTTGAGAAAATGAACTCTATAATCATGATCATGATAGGTTTTGCCTAAATTTATTGTTCCGCAAGAACAAGGTATGCTACAATTATATGCTGGAATAGGGTGATAGTTCTCCAACTCATCCCAAAACACGTTTAATTGTGAAAAATAGTCCGAAACATCAAGGTTACCTTACAATGAACTTGTATAAATCTTCTCGAATATTGAAAATGCAAAATACATTACTCTGCAAAAAATCAAATTTAGAGATAATTTGTTTATGGCAAAATAACATTTTTCGTCCCTTAACTTTAGTTCGGGATCTATGTTGGTTCCTTATCTTTAAAAAGTGGCAAATTAGTCATTTAACTTTTAAAATGGTGTTACGTTTATTCTTCCGTGTGTTGCCGTTAGTCAAACTTTGAAAAAAAGGAAGAAAAATAATTCTAACGTTTCCATTACCCACTATTACCTAGAAGAAGGCATGACAAGCTTGGAGAAGTGTAATCATATCTTGGAGTCTTGGAGAATTCATTGAGTCATTGAAGACGATTCAAGGTTTGTAGACGCGAAGATTCAAGCCGCGAAGGATTTTCTGATTTTCTGATTTAGGGTTTACTGCTAATTAAGCTACATTTTGGCCTCAGTATTCAACATGTTCATGAATATTCAGGTATGAATGAGTGTGTTTTGAGTTCTTAATTTATTTATGAAAAATGAGTTGTTCTTCCTAATTCACATATTTGGGATATTCGTTGGTTCTATAATTTTTGGATATTTATAATGTATAATGATATGGGTTTATATTGTGATTTTCTCTCTGTAAGGTGAATGTTAGTGTAATGTAGATGTTAATTATGCCATCCTTTCATTGTTTACATTTTGGTATTAAACATTTCAATAGCGTTGATCAATTATGATTAATTTCTAGGTTTCAAATTACTGTTAAAAATGTATTTGAAATGAACATTGGATCAAGATCAGAGATCTAGTTGGTTTGCTCCAATGTTGTCAGACGCAGAAGCGTTTTGTTCAAATTCTGCTACGATGTACACTTTGTAATAAATTGATTATCACATAACAAAAGTTGTTTGTTAAAATTCATCTCAACTACAATGCTGTAGGGCTTTTATGGCCACTATCTGACATCATTGGTTTGATCTTAGACTAACTCGGTATGCTTTGTACAGATAATTTAAGAAAGAAAGGGTGATATAATGATTGTACATTTTAGAATTAGTTGTATGCATTTAACATCATAGGCACAGGGATACAGTTTCTGGTTAGCGAATGTGCAGTCATTAGTTGAAAAGCAAGCTTTGCAATGCAAGTAATGTGGGGAGAAATAATTAACTCAATTTGGTATCTATCTTGCTCAGAATGTTTTAGCTTAGCATACTTACAACAATCAAGGTTTGATTCTCTGACCGAAAATGCTTAAATGAAGTTATTCCACAACTTTTACACTGAAATCTCAATAATTTCATTTATTCTAAAAAATTGTCTTGAATAAATAGGCCCTTCATTCCTCAAACCACAACCTCCTTTCTCTTTACCAAAGAGCAAGTTCTTCCCCCTCCACCTCCTAATAAAGGTATTCTAAACTTAATCCTGTATCTGTGTTAGCTAAAAGTGTTATTTATGTTATAAAGTGAACTTATATAGTATGCTTGGTTTCATTAGTTGGTATCTCTCTAGATTCATACTTTTGGATAATGCATGCATGCATGTCTTCCACCATCTCCACCTTCAATTCCCTCGGGTGTTTCTAATGTAGATGATGGACCGAATCAAGGTCGTGACAACAATGGAATGATGATGAAACCTTTAGGAGTAGCTATACCAAAGAAAAAGAAAGAAGGGAGCAATGGAAGAATGGTTTTTATAATTGTGCTATCATCGGTTATTGTTTTTGTACTATTCCTTTGTCTGTTGAAATACAGTTCTTGTATTCATCAACATGAAAAAGCTACCGATAGCTTAATGCCATCCTCTTCCATTTGTTAAACTCAACATCATTTCAAAGTTAGAGTTGTTTTGTTATCTGCTAAGGTTGAGTTAGAGATGAAAGGGGAATCTTTGTATTCAATGTTCACCATGAAATGAATAAATTGCATTGAGTTTGAGTAAACATGAATTATTTTGTTAATGGATTCTTATCTTTTGAATAAAACAGTGATGATTTTAAGATATTTTATTTTTCCTATATGCTTTCAATTTGGGTTTTAAAAAATGGCAAAAATGGTCGCGACAAAACGGTTTTAGTAGGTGCCGATATCGATACCACTATCACTGTTTTTATATTAAAGAATAAATTGTAGTTAATTCACACCGCGACAACGACAACCAATGGCGCAACACTTTTATCAACCGAAATCACAAAAACCGCAACATTAACGCGACTGTTTTTTAAAACCTTGCTTTCAATTATAGCCTTTATGTTCACACTTCAAAATTGCTTTAAAAAATCCAACTAGAAATTGCCACATAAACGTTCTAATTATGATTTAACTGCTTAGTGTCACTATTAAAATAAGAATTAAGCTCAATACACTACATACCTTTTTTTTTTAATCAGTTAAAAGAAGAGTTCATAACATGTTTTCCATATTAGTTAATTCTGCTTTACTCTATCAAAACAATTTAGATTTCAATATAAATTTTAGTCCTTTGTAGCATATGCTTATGGTGCTCCTATTATATAATTTTATTTGGCAATATTTTCAGAGAGTACTATTTATTTTATTTTATTTTTAAAAAATCTTCTTTTTATATTTCATGTGTTAGAACTTAAAATCATTGTTGTAAATTTAACCATGCATGAGCAACCATTGCAATACATGCAGTTCCAACACCTGAATAAACTGTTCCATTAGACAACACTAATGAAGCACCTAGAAAAACTCGAGTAACCTCACGCATTATGTAGGAAACAACATTGATATGAGTGTATGTACAACTAAGACCTTCCTCCAATAGTCTACGAAGCAAAAGTTCCCCCATGTGACTTGGACGAGAGTCTACTACTACAACTCAAAACTGTTTCCTTAACTTATGTGCATGTAACAATATCATTTCAACTGCTGACGATGATCCATAAGTAAACAGAACATCACCATCTCTTATTTTTGTGACAACATGCTATACTATCATCTTGTCAGCAAGTATAATCTTCTCATATATAAAACGCTCAATATCTGCTTAAAGAGAAATTATCAATCCAACTTTGATATTTGTAATATAAGTAATGAAACTTTGGTATTTGTAATATAAGTAATGAAACGCCAACGCCACTGGCAAAAATGTTCCTCGACAAATTGTGTTTTTAATTCAGTTGATACACATGCAAAATTAATGAACATGTTACTACAATTACATTTGACATATCATTCATAACAAGCAAGACCAATATGAACAACCACACAAATTTCATTGATCATCTATGCAGATCGGATCCTGCCTTGCAAACACACATTGAACTTCTATTCTGACTCTACTTAAGAATCTAACAGCTAATGGCAGATAGTAGAATTAAGTTGCAATCTCTGTCAAAAAGCGGGTGAACAGATACACTGCATCCTGCAAGTGACCGGAGCGTAGGTATTCAGGAATGGGAGCACTGAAAGCAGTGCCAAAGCATTGTCCATACCAATTCAGTCATGGCATTTGTATCTCCCTGGAGTGAGTTTCTCATTAAATAAAATGAAATATAAATTTTAGCTCCTAACTCCCAGTTTTCAATTTCAGATTTATAGTCCTCCATGGAAGTTGCTATCCTCCATATCTCAGTGTGTTTAGCTGCACAATATATTAAAGAAGTTATAACTATGATGCACTATTGCACTTAAATGGAATTAAGAAAAATTCTAGCAATTATTTTCCAGCCATTGAAAAGTAAGATCAAGTAAAAATATGTAAAATTCTGAAGATGCAGGGCAAAAGATGGAGATTTTACAAGTAGTTTTTAACAACATTATCTTTTGCCAATTTTCTACGGTGCTTAAGATGATTTTGTTTCATGCCAATTTCCAGAAAAATAATTTGGACAGAAACAGAAACAGAAACATAACTTAAACAAAAACAGAACTTCAACAGAGAACAAAACCAGCTTGCATACCTTATAATTTGGACAACCCCAAAAAAGTTTTCCCATATTCTTGACAGTAGTTTCCCTTTGAAAAACAACCATGTCTCCACAATGGTACGTGG